TATATATATATATATTACACATGATAGCTAAATTCGGTGTTTGTGGAAAAAAACGTGAATTTTACATCTCCATCGGGAATCTCAAACTTTTGCGCGTAAACATAAAAAAAAAAATCTCAAGAATGTGAAGCAACCGCGATTTATACTGCTGGACGATCTGCGCGACAGACAGTGAATATGATATACTGCGAGAAATTGATACGAAATTTAAAAATACCTCGAACTACGAACGTGATTCTTCTCATAATCTTTTTCTCGTTACTTATTATTATGTGAGATTTCTTTTTTGCGTATCTCGGCGACGACGTTATCGAGAAAGCAATTAATTGAACTTCAATAAACAAATTGTGAGATGATAAATATTGTCTTGGTAGGGAGCATTGTAAATTATGCTTGTATAACAACCATTCGCTAATGATAAAACTCATTAGCTATTATTACTTGGTGGATTCTTAGTGATTGCATGAGTATTGCATGAGTATTGCATGACTATTGCGCTGGATGGCGTTATCTCTTTTCTCCTTTAAGCGTAAACATTCAGCATGATTGTGCGAATTTATTTAGCTCAAACGTTCAGCCTAATCGTGCGAATTTACCTGGAACGCGGCAAAATAAAATTCAATATTAACAAAAATTTAAGGATGTATGTGTTACATTTCAGAACTTATAATATTACTAAAAATATAAAAATTTCACAGATTGACTTATTATATCTAATATCTGTAAAATTTGAGCACAATTCTCTTATTGATTTAAAAGTTATTTAATTTTTTTGTTAATTTTGATTTTTATATAAAATTGTGTTTTACATGTAACCTATTTGTATATTTGAGGAAGTAACATTAAAAATTAAATCAAATTTTAAACATATTTATTGATCAAACAATAATAATAAATATTCAAAATGTGCAAAAATTTCTTTGGATATACGTGTTTAAAAGTTCTTGACCTACAATTTTAGAAAAATATGGTCATTTTGATGCATAAAACCATTATAAGCCAAATTATTTGTCGTTTTGTTTCGTCAATCGATTTCAGAACATATTCATGGAGTAATGTCAAAATTTTTTTCATAACGTTGGCTGATATTAACTTATTTTTACTGATTATTTAATTGATATTTTTAGCTGATATTGTATAGTCAAAGTATCCTTAAGCAATTTATATAATATACTGTGTGTATGTGTGCGCGCACGCGCGCGTGTGTGTAGATAACATAAAATATCGATTACAAATATATATAATATAAGTAATAGTGATATAATTGATATAACTAATACACAGAAAAATAATGTTATAATAGCATTACTTTAATTGAAAATAGTTTTGTTAATTTAATAATGAAACAAATAGCATTTTATTAAATAAAAGTATTTATTGATGTATTTTATTAATACGTGTTAATGTATTCGTTTTATTATTACTATTATTGAATTATTTCAAATTGCTATTAACTATGTGTGTAGTGATGCTGGTTAACATACTTTTCTTGTGTATAAAATTATTTATAAGATGATACTTGATTAACATTCCGTGTTCGATGGATCGATTATTTGACTATTGTTTTTTTGTTGTATAGAGGCCGTAAACGGAGATCCATCTCGGAGGATAATCTTCGAAAATTGCAACATTTCCTACTACTCATTACTCAAGGCTCGGAATCAACCGTGGACCAATCTGACCAGAATCGTCCCTTAATGTGGGTAAGTGCAAGATGATATCGATTGAAATTGATGCGTATAAGTATGTATATGTACAGTGAGTACAAAAAGTATTCGTACAGAGAAAATGTTTTTTTAAAAAACTTTATTTTAAAAAATTAAATATTATCCAGCGAGAAATGAGTCATCGAATTGATGTTGAATCGATGACATCGATACGATGATTTCGATACCAATTCGACATCGATTCGACGTTTAATTGATGATCATTTCTTTTGCTAGGTAATTAACAATTTTTATTCATAAAGTATAAATAGACTGTATGTTTCTTAAAAAATTATATTAAAAAATGTGCATTAATTATAGAAAATATATTCATTGTTTGGATGCTCAAAAAGTATTGGTATAGTCGAGAAAATATTTAATTTATAATATCAGAAATACATGCGAAGCTCATTTATATGTTTGTTAGAACAGAATGTATTCATTATATAAAATTACTAATTAATATAAATTTTTTACAAATAAGACTTTTTTTATAAAAAAATTCCTTGTACGAATATACTTTTTGCTCTCACTGTATGTACAATCTGTTTATCGCCCTTCACACAGTGTCGTAGCTATGAAATTTTTACGTGATAATAAGCACGTAGACGTTATCAGACGCTTTACCTACACATTTTATTTTCGGGGACGCGTTTTACGCGAGATGCCGTAACGGCTCGTAACACTTTCGAATACATGTGACGATTTCCTTCGTGATCGTTTATCATGTCCGCTTGAGTGAATAATATTTTATGATAAAGAAAGATCGATCGAACCAGCAATGGTGTAAAAATCTAATCAATTGCTGAGCATAATTAGTTATCTTCTGGAAGTTTCCGAGACATAACGTGGGATGTTCTCACTTCGTTCCGGTTCTTTCCATCAGGTTATCTATCTTTCTCTTCTGTTTATGTAAATAATAAGTAAGCGTATAAAATATAAAATGCAACTATTATTGCGCTTACATTCTGTATGTGTCAAGTATATACTGTTGCCCGGTAATAAATTTGTCAAATATAATTATATGTATAGCTTCTTAAGACTTCCTCTTGCGTTAAGCATCTGGCCTGTGTTACTTCTTTCACATGTGGTGCACACGCTGATTATTCAATTGTCACAAGCATACATAATTATATGTACTGGTTTAAGAAGTGAAAATAATAATTTATTTAGTTTTATTGCTAAAATATTATTAGCATTACATTTTACAATACACACATTAATCAGATATTTAAAAAGTACATTCCGAAAATGTATAGGAGTCTCGCCAATTTAATTCGCATATGCCTTACTATATTTTGGGTGTTTTCTTCTTACAAGAAATGCGCTCACACGTCGTGGCGGAGCCACGTACTAATCTCCTATATATAATTATATATATGTATATATAAATTATATATTACAAGTAGGTCATGTACATATAAATATGTATGGATATACGAGTTAGACAGTATTATATAAAATTATATATGTCGATAAATTATATAATGGATTATACATAATTCATGCATATATTTTTACATAATTTTATATAGTAATATATTATAATATAGGAAAAATTTTGTACCAAGTGGCCAAAAGTTTGAGGCCGTTAATTGAAAATATCTATTGTGTTAAATAAAATCAAAAACTTATGTATTCTAATTTAATATTTTTTATTTTTATTGTATCATATTAATTTATTATATTTACTAACAGTTTTATAATAAAATAAATAATAATGTAAAATGTTTTGAATTTTTTACAGAAAATTCTTTTTATAAATTTTTAGAGAGAAAAACATTATAAATATTAGATACTTTTTTGTCAAACTGTCTATCTTACTTTTTTTTTTACTAATCTAGATAATTAAGGATTTAAAAATTTATTAATTTTTTTTGCTGGAGGACTCTTCTAAAATAGCTCATAGTTTAGTTTTGAAAAGAAGGGCTTTATGGTTGTAGTCCATTTT